ATTCTTGTTTCAAACATTCTTTTGTATTTTCTTGTTTTTCAATCCATTTTCGTTGAGGTTTTTGTCTTTGAAAAACATATGAATTCTTTGTTAGATTATTTTCGACAGTGCTTTGATTTGAAAAGAATCCTTCGTCTGTTGTTTTCTTGTTGTCATCTTCGACCATTTTGTTGAACTCTGGTTTAATGTTTTCAATATTTCCAGTAGTGACAAACACTTGATTTGAAAATACAACATCATCTGAACACTTGAAATTTGGATACACCACTTGATTTGTTTCCAAATAATGGGCTCCTTTTTCAGACAAAAATTTGTCGAAATTTTCAGTGTCCCCAACCACTTGATCAACAACAACTCGTGGAATGGTTGTTTCTTTTGAAACAGGTTTGTCAGGCTTAGATTTGTTCGAAACTTGTTCTTCATCCTCATCATCACTACTGTCCGTTTGACTATCTCTGACACTCACATTGTCGAAATTAAAAACTTTCGAAGTTGAGGGTTTGTCAGTGCCATTCTTAACCGACGAATCATCACATTTTTCTTTTCCTTTAGGCTTAGATGTGACATTAATGACAGACAACTGTGAACAATCGACACTTTCCTCTTCCTCAATTTCACTGATTTCGCTAAAACTATCAGAATTATCATCGACATCAACAAAATTGGATTGAGAGTCAAGTTTCGAATTCTCAGTTCTTTTCAAAATTTTGATTTGTTCATTTTTGGTTAAGGTATCATTCACAATCTCAACAAGTTCATCAGCATTCAAATATTCATCTATCTTAACAATACCATAAGCAAATCGATTATCAGGCACTTTATCGAATTCTGCTATGGTTTTCTCATAATCATAAGACATGCTATCAATTTTCTCTCTTTCGAAAGCTAGAAAAGGTAATAACTTCCTATGTGGTTCTTTGCTAATGTCAGACGAATGATGCAAAACAGTCAATTTAGCATATAATCGTTTTGCAGAGTTACAGTAAATATTTCTTTGAGCTAACAACATTTTAACATCACTGCTTAACGAATCCCTATCACACATGATATTTGTGATCTGTAATTCCAGATACTCTACCCTGCTGCGTTTCGAGTCTAACAATTTTTGTGTCTCTTGCAATTGGATGTTTAGTTTCTTAGCTTCATTACTAGCAGACACCACAATTGTATCAAAGTAAGCAACAATATCATCAAATGCAGTTATTTGAGAATCATAATATTGTAAAGGAATCTTAAAAGACTGAAGAATAGCACGCACCTTGGTTGTCATTGGTGATTTGTCTCCTGTCTTGGTCATGAAACAAGGACCAGTCACCTTTTCGTCCTTTTCGTCCTCATCTTCCTCAAACTGTGCGAACATAGCACCATGCGTCGGATTACGCATCTCTTCATCATCAGACCCTGAAGACCAGATCTGATATGTGCCTTCCTCCTCACCTTCGCCATGAGCAATCAAAGATAACCCCTTCGTCTTTGCACGTACTTCTTCCAATCTCTCCACATAATAAGCTTCGTCCTTGACCCTATTCTTTTTCTCCTCTTTCTTACGAAGCATGCAATCATTTGCCAAATGATTTGCTCCGTTACAGTAATGACAGTCAATGCCCGAATCTCCTTTCAATTTCTTCTCGCTTTTGACTTCAGTTGCCTTTACATCATTCTTTTCAAATTTCTTCTTCTCCTCACCCACAAACTTGTTCACGAAACTTCCTTTCACATCACTCTGTTTCATCTTAGGATTGAAAGGTTTCTTGAAAAACTTTTTAACTCGGTTGTTCGAGTAAAAAGCAACCGCTTCATCATCAGAGTTTATTAAAAAACCTTCTTCATCAGAACCATCTATTTCAACTGCTTCTTTCTCAGATACTTTCGAAATAAGAGCTAATGGATCTCCCAGACTCAGTTTCGACTCTTCAGCCATCTCATTCACTTCACTTTCGTGTGTTTTCAACTGATTATACACATCATTCAGAGATGAAGTATCGAAGCTTTGTTGATTCTTCACCATCATGCTGACACTCCTCCACTCCTTACGAAGTCCCATCACAAAAGTGAGATTGAACTCCATTGATGATCTTATGATTCCATAACGATTGCATCGATAGATCAGTTCATTAAGACGATCATAGTAAACTTCAATCGTTTCACTCTCCTTTTGTCTGAATTCTTTCAGCTCCACAAGACACTGCTTAACAGAGTTTATCTTCGTTTTCTCGCTTCCCTGATACTTTTCCTTAAGTGTATTCCAGATATCTTTTGCAGTTTTACAACCACAGATGTAATTGTAAACAACAAGCAATTCTTTCAAACAACGCTTTTCGTTGTTCTTCAACCTTGTGGATTGATCACTGACTGTAGATGCTGATCCAGATGGTCCAATTTGTTGAACATTTGGTGGAGGTTGAACAATTCCAGCAATGCAACTCCAGAGCTCTTCGTCCAAACCGTTCAAGTAATCCTCCATTCGATCAGCCCACTGATCATAATACTCCGAAATCAACATAGGAATATTCGTAGAAGATCCTAACAGATGAGAAAATGAAGTCATCGTGTTCATGTTGAAATTCGCCATTAACATACAGATGAGATTTTTCAGAAAAACTTGAAGAAACTTGAAATTCAATAACTGATTAGATCAGAAACTCAAAAACGATTACTCGATTATACTATTCAAACACAGAATCAAACCAAAACTGTAGATCAGTGATGATTTTCAGAATCGAACAGTGCGAAAACTTTTGAGACAAATTCGTGACTCAAAAACTAGTGATTCAAATGAAAATCAGATCATTGTAGTATGATTCCTGCTCTGATACCAATTGTAGTTGAATAAAACGAGTAAGAGAATCAAAATCAGAGTAAGATGAACACGAGAAGTAAATAAGGTCTGGTTTAAGCTCTCATTACTTCCAATGAACACGAGTACAAAACGTAAGCAGAAACAGGGAAAACTCTACTAACAACTCAATGTTCAGCTCCTATTTATAGGAGACTGAAAGTACAAAAAATACTAAGGCATAGACATTACACTTCGACAACTAAGACGCCTTAGCAAATACATACGCAACATACAAAAATGACAATTACACAGATTTCGACATTTCGACATATTACAAGAAATTTCGACCTTACAATTTTCATGCACGATTCGGGAGAGTCACACTTTTAGGCTCTAAAATGGATTCTTCGGTACATTCATGGGACACTTGATCACGACCTTCAAGTCTACATCTCGTCATCATCCAGTTTTGTTGCTTACTCTAATGGGGACTGTGGCAATTATCCCTTTACTCGACCACCTCCAAACTTTTCTAGGCGATAATCTAGTTTCTTGGTCGTTAAAACGCCAAGGTGTCATATCCCGCTCCAAGGCTAAAGCTGAATATAGAGGGGTTGTGAACATTGTTGTTGAGACTTGTTGGATCCACCATCTTCTTTGCTAGCTGAAGTGTCCACTAGACAAAACCACAACTGTTTATTATGATAACATTAGTGCCGTTTACATGTCCTCCAATCTCATTTAACATCAACGCACAAAACACATCGAGATCGACATTCATTTTGTTAGAGATCAAGTTTGGGTCTTGTCTGTGTGTTCCACGTCCCATTTTATTTCACCAATGGGTTAACATCCTCGTTTTTTCTTAAATTTTGAACCGGTTTGAGTGTTAGAAAGTCTATTTCAATCAAATCGCGAGAGGATGTTGGCATATATCATTTGTATTATTAGCCCATGTTTGTATCAGTCCATTTGTTGTATTGTTCATAGTTCTCGACCCATTTTGTATGTCGGCACCTATATCCATCAAGGTAAAGACAAAAAGACACACCTAAATGACATTTGAAAGCGATAGTAAATGAAATATAACTACAAGAAGAGCTTCACAATTCGAAACACAAAAATCGATTTGCGTGACCAAAATGCTTGAAACATAGGAGAAAGTAACTTGTATATTATAATATTTTCTAATCAATTTTTTTGAAGGACATCATACTCAATAAAATTGTCTTTATTTATTTAAGCGATCAATATCATGTAAGCTGAAGTTTCTTATCTATTCTAATAAATGAATGTTTTTTTTGTCACATGTCACACTCTCATTCAATTTGCCAAATGTCATTTTGTGGTTATTTTGAATTAAGTTTTTTTTCCACATGTCATTTTATGAGTTTTCTATTTTAATAAATTTCACATAGTACTTTAATGTAATAATTACAATAAATATAGTAATAAATGAATATCAATTTCATTAATGAACTTACCTTCTTATTTTAAAATTCTCAAATTAAAGCTCATTAGTTTATTTTGTTTATTTATTTAAATTTTTTTAAAAAAATCAATTTTAATAATTTATTATTTTTCTTATTTTCATATAAATCCAAAGTTCTTAAATATTTAGACCTTTATATTTAATTTTTTAAATTAACCTATGTAATACATGAGTCTTACACTTAGCTCATAATACATGTTGTCATCACCTTAACTTATCCTTTAATCATAAACTGGTAACTTATGGTAGTTAACTTGATTAATATTAGATGAAATAATATGATGACTTGATTATTGATTTTTTTCCTTAAAAATACTAAAATAAGTAGAAAAAAATATGGACCATGTTATGTAATTCGTATTAATCTAACGGTTGAAGTGCGATATTCCACGGTAGGTTCAGAGTTCAAACCATGATGTCCTAAATATAGCTTGTGTTCCACGATTGGCCTACCACATTTACATTTTAGATGGTACAATCGACCATTTTTTTAACTTTTATTTCTAAAATATTATGTTTAGTTATTAATTGTTACATTCTTCTTATTAAACAAGAGCAACTTGGGCTTGAATAGTCCAAACTAGTCCATCAAGATATGGGCTCGTAAACACAGTCCCAACTCTCAACGGCGCCACTGATTACTGAAGATTAACATCCATCCCACTCACATTGGGAAGTTCTCTTGCGTTTGCTGGATCCTATTCTAAATCGTAATGGAACAATGAAAGAATGGGCAAATTATCTCTACTGAAATCCTCAATATCCTCTTCAAGAATCATCTCAAATCCTAACCACTCGTTGATTCAAACGGAGACTTCGAGTTCCAGTCATGGTCATCCACCAACTGCCGCATCCCTCTCACTTCTCCTCCAATCTTACATAAATTCAGACACCCCTTGGCATGGCCAAAAGATTCATACCAATATTATCAAAACCGGGTACATACCCAACACAAACATATCTATAAAACTTCTGATTCTCCATTTGAAATGTTCCTGTTTGCTATATGCACGCCAAGTGTTCGACGACTTGCGTCAACCAACTCTTACCGCTTATAACTACATGATAGCGGGGTATACAAAACATGGTGAAGTGGTCGAGTCATTAAATTTAGTTAGAAGACTTGTTTCATGTAACGAAAAGCCAGATGGGTATACATTTTCAATGATCTTGAAGGCTTCCACCAGTGATAGTATACTCCCATTTGGATGTCGGATTGGAAAGGAAGTCCATGCCCAGATTGTGAAATCTTATGTTGTAGTTGACGATGTTCTTTCTACTGCTTTAGTGGATTTGTATGTGAAAAGCGGGAGAGTAGACTATGCTAGAAGAGTGTTTGATTTCATGAACGAAAAGGACATAGTTTGTTCTACATCAATGATTTCTGGATATATGAGACAAGGTTATGTGGAAGATGCTGAAGAAATTTTCAATAAAACAACTCACAAAGATGTGGTAGTCTTTAATGCAATGATTGAAGGTTATAGCAAATCAATTGAAACTTCCAAGAAAGCCATGAACATATACATAAACATGCAAAGATTCGATTTTAAACCTAACATGTCTACATTTGCAAGCATTATCGGAGCTTGTTCTTTATTGTCAGCAAGTGAAGTTGGTCAACAAGTACATGGTCAACTCATGAAGACTGAATTCTCAACCAATATCAAAATGGGAAGTGCTCTAATTGACATGTACTCAAAATGTGGAAAAATCGAAGATGCAAGAACAGTTTTTGATGGGATGAATGTAAAAAACGTGTTTTCTTGGACTTCAATGATCGATGGGTATGGAAAAAACAGTGATCCAAATGAAGCACTTGAGCTTTTTGATCGAATGCAAAACGTGTATCACATTACACCAAATCATGTCACATTCCTTAGTGCTATTTCAGCTTGTGGGCATGCTGGATTGGTGTCTAAAGGCCAAGAAATCTTTAAAATCATGGAGAAAGATTACTTATTGAAACCACACATGGAGCATTATGCTTGTATGGTTGATTTATTGGGGAGAGCAGGAAGGGTAAATCAGGCATTTCAGTTTGTAATGGGAATGCCCGAGAAGCCGAATTCTGATGTGTGGGCGGCATTGCTTAGTTCTTGTAGACTACATGGTGATGTGGAGATGGCAAGTATTGCAGCCAATGAGCTTTTTAAATTAAGTAGTGATAGTAGACCAGGAGCTTATGTTGCATTATCGAATACTCTAGCGGATGTAGGGAGATGGGATAGTGTTAGTGAAATTAGGGAAGTAATGAAGATGAGGAATATAATCAAAGATTCTGGTTCCAGTTGGATTGGGACTGAGACTGATGATGGTTTATGATATCGAGTCAAGTGCAAGAATTAGTAACATATTTTTTGTTTATTTGTTTATTACAACATCATACTTTCATTTCTCCCTGTTAGTACTAGGAAAATTTTACCCAATTATAATTTGTAACAATGTCATCCAAATAGAAAACACTTTTCATTATTATAGTTTGGTAGATTTTTTCATTATTATTGTGTAAGAAAAAAAATGTTAAAAATGGGTAGAATTCTCATAGGACGGTGACTTATTAAGAATAGAACCTAAACACGCCACAAATTTTTTTTTTCTTTCTTGCCAACGAAACCTAAACACGCCAAAACCTTGTCAATCTAACAAGTTCAATCTAGTTTCATTGCTTCAATTTTTCTTTCATTCAATGGTTCGTGTAACTTCTTCCAATAAAGATAATATTCAAATAACATCTTCCAAAAATTAAAATCGTGGCCTTCAAATTTATCGATCTTAACACCACAATTAAAGATGTGAAGAATGCAAAGAACACAATGATTTAATGTGGTTCAATCGATCATAGAAACCGAGCTACGCCCATGAATAAACTAGAGATAGATTTTATTAATAATATTAGACACTCGGCATAAGATTATATTCGTACAAATGAGATCTATTTATAGAGATGAGTTGACCTAAAATTTGCTTGTGAGCTGTGCCTAAAAATACTGACAACTCATCTGGCTTGACTTGAGAACTGCAACCATCTTATCAAGTACCACAATTATGGGACACCATAAGCCACAGTTGTAATATGTTAGACACCACAATGCTTCTTCATCCACTGGTGCGGTATGTTGGACGCCACAACCTTACTCTACATGCTTAATCTACAACTGCTTCAACAACCCTACTCCACAACTGCTGATTTTGGTGCCGAAACTGATATACGTACTACTCCTTTGACCCCCGCCCACTCTTATAGGAGTGGGACCCAATGCGTAGTCACTATAGCGGTAATGATGCCAAAAGGAAGATAAAAATCCATAACACAACAATTCCTTCTTCGGCTTCAACATCCTGCTATATCATTATTTATCCACCATCACCCCAAAAGGGATCCCATGAGGTTCTCCACTAACCAATACATGATGTCATCAACATTTGTTCCATACTCAACCATATAAAATCATGATTTAGATTCCCCAACTATCTTTTGTAAAAACACAATTCGAGTAGAGATTGAGCCTGAAATGCCATACTCCTTGCATTTATGGAAACTGCTACCAGTTGTTTGGTCACAACCTTAGACAATTACTCTTCATTGTTAGCTGCTAGCCTTTCATTGTTGAGTTGTGGAGTTTGATCTTCTCTTTGACCTCATTGCAGCTATACATACCAAGCATGGGGTTTAGCTCTTTCAGATTTAGCATTAAAATGTGTCACTGGAAAAATTCATCAGCGTCATTTTGTGGGCTTGGCCTTATCCATAGACTTTAGGTCAACTTTGTTTTACATATAGACCCCTTATGAATTTTTGTAAACCTAACAGAAAAGTTTAATTCGACAACTATCAATAAAATCCCTCTCTCTATCTATCTCTTGTTGGCTCTTGGATGTAGCTCGATTTCTTAGATCGAGTGAACCACGTTAAATATTGTGTTCTTATTTCTTACTGCATCATTAATCCATGTATGTATGTAATCGTTTATCATTTGTCGAAGTGCTTATAACCTAACAACTAGTATAACAGCCATGGACGAAGATGAGAAGGTTAAGATCAAAAAATTTGAATATCATGATTTTGGGCTTTGGAGAATACATATTAAATATTATCTCTACCATAAGAAGTTACATGAAACCTAGGCCAAAAAGGAACCAAAAAAGATGAAGATGATTGAAATCTACTAGATCATCAGGCTCTTGGCATGGTTAGATTATTACTAACAAAGAATGCAACATTACAATATTATCAATAAGTAGACTACCTATGGTCTGATAAAAGAAATATTCAATATGTATGCAAAATCCTCAACATAGAATAAGGTTTTCTTGATCCGGTAGTTGGTTAACACAAAGATTAAGGAAGGCAACTTAGTGACATGTGCATGAATTTAATTCAATCATACCAATGTTGATTTAGGTTAGTAAAGATTCGAAGTTGAAGTCCAGTTCCTGATATTATTATCTTTTCTACATGGGAGTTGGTTTGATACGGTACCAATAGTTAATAGTGCATCTGAAACTACTAAGTTGGTATTTGAAGGCATTCATGATTTGATATTTGGTGAAGATTTTTCATAGATGAATATAGGATAGTCTTTTGAGTCCAAAGGATAAAGAGAGAAACACTAATAGAGAAAGCCATGGTAGAGGAAGATCGAAATCAAGGAAGAGAGGTCAGTCGAAGAACATGAAGGATATTACTTGTTAAAATTGCAAAGAGAGCAGTCTCTTAAAAAATCAGTACCCAAAACTCTCAGTAGAAAAAGGCGAGAATGAATTGAATGTGACAACAAACTTTGATGATGATGCATTTATTTCCATGTCAAAAACTTGATAGAATCCCAGTGTAACGACCCAAAAATCAAGGGTAAAAATTTCATTTTTCAATACAGTCAAAACACATATATCTTTTAAATCCAAATTCCAAAAACAAGGTTAATTAAAAACATTCATCAAAGTTCGTCCCAAAATCATATATTGCGGAAACACGGGTGTGTGCGCTACGATCAAGCTGACCCTTCCTTTCCAAACCGATAATACCTGAAACCATAAACAAAACTGTAAGCACGAAGCTTAGTGAGTTCCCCAGAGCATACCCTACATAGTCCACATAATCACATAAGCCATATAAATCACATAAGCTATATAAGCTACATATAAGGATGCCATGGAAACCCTCCAAGGGCTTACACCCGGGTGCCATGGGAACCCCCACATGGTCTTAGCCCACTCTCATACCAACCATACATGCAACATATAAGGATGCCCTGGAAACCTCCAGGGTCTTACTCCGGGTGCCATGGGAACGCCCACATGGTCTTAGCCCAATGCCTCAGGAACCCCATGAGGTCTTGACTAAGGATGCCCTGGAAACCCTCCAGGATCTTGTACCCTAGTACCTCGGGAACCCCCCCCGAGGTCTTCCATGCAAGTATCACAAAGATAACTAGCATATTACATACCACAAAATCAATTAGCATACCACATAGCACAAAATCAACTAGCATATCACATAATGCATAATGGGCCGACCTTGGTGCCTTAGACCCATTGGTATGGTGAGGAGACTCACCTCAATGCAGAAGCTTCCTTAAAGAAGTCCTTAGCCACTGCCCTGCCGGCTTCCCGAGCTGTCAATACCAACCAATGTACCTAATTAGAAATTGGGTCCCATACTATAATCCTTAACCCATACATGGGGTAAAATGACCATTCTACCACGGGCCCAGTATGATCGAAAACTAAGGCCCTAACCCAAAACAAAAGCCCAACACTATAATGTGCACAGGTCCATCGATGGCCCAATTTTCCAAATTGGGCCCAAACCACTACATGACTCTTGCCAGGAGGCCCAAACATTCCCAACACGCTCATAAATTCGCTGGTCCAAAAAACCCATAATCATCACAGCCCAATTGCGGCCCGCTTATGGCCCAATTTTCCAAATTAGGCCCAAACCTTCCCGATAAGCCTTACCATCAACTCCAATAATTTTCCTTAGTCCATCCCCTGTTTCCAATTGGCCCAATAAGGCCCACAACAACCTAGTCCAAGAATCTGACCCATACCTCCACAATCCAGACTAAATACAGCCCTCCCAAGGCATCCTGATACCAACCCTAAAGAACTTACCCACCTAAAAAGGAACGAACCTTAAACCTTCCTTCATAAAAACCTCCATATTCTTCCGAAACTTGAAACCTCAATTTGACCTAGTTTCCCGACAACTGCCCACACAGAACCAACATCGAACTTATTCCATAAGAAAACCAGCCTAACAAAATACTTTCCACCCATAATACCTTGAGGCTTCCAAAAGAACAAAACACTTGGGCATATGCGGCTGCGGAACACACAACTTGACTGGAGGCTCAAATAATCCTTCGAGTAGGAGACTCATCCTCGCAACGGTTAGACACAGATGAGAGTCGCACAACAGGGTCTAATCAGCCACTCTATGATCACTTAATCCAATTGCAAACAATTAAGCGTATACCCTGAATATAAGCAACTCCTCACATGAATCCCAGGTCACTGAACCCACTTTGACTCTTTTGTTACCACTTGCTGCTTTTCAGAAGCAGCCGAAACCTCTCTGATCCCGCCTTGTCTGACAACCACTCGAAACATCGGACACCAACCAATCGCTGGCCAAAACACACACAACAACCCCACGCGTCTCCCGAGAAGATAACCAACTGGCCGGACTTGCTTACACACCTTGCCAACAAACTTCTGTTGGCCGAATAAACGCTACATGACCCACTGCAGTTTCATCTCATACCCGGTCTTCAACAACCCATATTTCCCCCCTTCAAACACGATATGGCTCCTTCACTAATAAAACCAGCCCAAGACACATCACGGTAACTCTAACTGCCATCAACCAAACCCATCCATTACCCTTGAACCCTGCGATTGATGCCCTCTACGTATAAATACCTCCATCCTTATCCTGATGGTACGAAAATTCATGCATAAAACATGTGCGGTACCCGACTTGAGATCTTAACCAAAACCAATTCGATACACACTCATAACCCAACATCTATGAATCTGCACCTGCATATCACACCACATCCTCTTGATTACCAACCTCTTTACCAACCGTTGGATTGGTATACCCAACTATCTTCGAGATTTCCAATCTCGCACCTAGTCCAACCACCAAATTCCCAGGAGATCAAAATCAAGGCTACCCAACCTAAACCCTACTGTGTCGTGTAGTGATTATCCACACGATCCTGTAACTCAAGATCCAATCCTTGACTCAACAGCCCCTATCAGTTCCAACCTGAGTTTCCATAATCACTCATGCTCGCCTACGGATCCCAAAG